GGTCGATTTGACGTGGAATGACCCATTTGTTAGTTTTTTTAAATATAATTTTTTTTTAAATTGTTAATCATAATTGTAAAAATTGGTAAATTTATTATAAAGAAACATAAGTTGAGGCTCGTCTTTTATTTCTTTTCTTAATACTGGGTTTGTGGGGAAATAGGAACATGCCACCATATAGTCCTTCATTTGTCTACTATTTCTGGAGTTTTTATAGCTATCCACCCCCTAGCTGTCGTCTGAGCAACGTCGAAGGCCCGAAGAATGACACAGAAGCAATCGAAACTTGTAGGACATTTGATAGGTTACACCAACAGGGCGATATGTTTTTCTGGAAAAAGAAAATTATTTTGATACTTCTGTTTAATTATTTGAGTTAACAATCTTCAAAAACAGCGAAAATTTTATCGATAAAAGATATCTAAAAGCGATTATTCATTTATTTTTGTTTAAGTTTTCCTCTGCAATCTAATCAAAATCTTAAAATCCGCATAAAAAAAAAGCATTTTAATCAGGTATTAATTGCATATAAAAACACAGTTCCAATAAAAAAAATTATATAATTAGTGCAGTTACCTTGCCAACATGAAAGTCTTGGTAAGTATAAATATATTAAATATATTATAGTTTTAAATTTAAGTTTTTAATAAAATTTTATGTTCACTCTAATTTGTTTTTGTTACATTTTTGTATTCAAAAATAAAATTCATCTAAAATTTAAACATATTAATAGTAGTTTATGTTATAAGTAGAAAAAGTTAACTTTTTCGAGCGACTGCGAGAAGTTTACCAAACGAGACATAGCCGAGCCTGGCAACTCGTAGGAGTATGAAAATACACTTTTCATCCGTGTTTCATGCATTAATTTTTATTCAAATGTGCTTATATATATTAAAAAAAAATAAATCCAAAATGATATTATTTTCATTTTTTCTTATAACTGAAATAGCTGTGATCCATAAGAATGACTAGGTAGATATACTCACGAAGTATAGATACCAGGAGTCCGAACGTAATGTTGAATGAAGGGCATCAATTTGGGGGACAGAATTTTTGCCGGTAGCGCGCGCCACTTTTGAAGAAGTACTCGTTTAATTAATTATTATTTGAAAATTAAACAAATTTATTAATCAAGCATTTGTTAAAAACAAATTTTTAATATTATTTAGAGGTTACTCACTTTCGGTGCTTTGAATAAAGCCACTTTTCCTAAATTCTCATTTGCCTTTCGGTACGTCCTGAATATTTGCGCAGCCAGTGGCAGAAAAAAGAACTAAGATTGGGTTTAATATTTGTGTACATGAATCCTATAAAAAAGCCTATACCGTTCGGACTCCTGGTATCTATACTTCGTGATATATTCTTGATAACAATTGAACAATTGCTGCCATGTTAGTGTGCTTATGTCAATTCGAATTAATTATACTTTATTTAGTTTTTCTCTTATTCAATTAAAAATGTTTCTATTCAAATTTGTTGTAAGTATGGATTATGAACTATTATTTTACAATAGAAAAAATATCTCCAGTAGTAAAAGGTAAATCCAAAATAAAACTCTCTAGTAGTTCATTTGTAGTATATTTAAAAGTACTCTTTTTCGATTATGTTTTCGGTCCGAAAAACGACGTTTTATGTCACATTCGAATGAAAAAGCAATTTTGAACATTTTAAAAAAGAATAGTAAGAACTAATTTTTATAACTTTATTTTAACATCAAAAAATACAAGTTTATACAAATGTTTTGGTTGTAAAAGTATGTACTATGCAAGTAGTATTTTAAAATATATAAAAATGTCTAAATTATGCAATATTTAAAATATACCTATTAAAATAAAGAGAAAAAAAATAAAATATAAAATTGAGTTTGAAAAATGTGTGTATCCCGAAACTCAATAATATTATAAGAGTAATTTTTATAAAATCTTTTTATTACACCCACATGAATATTAGCTATTCTATGCATATACTACAAAACGAAAAAGTTGGCCATTGGATTCAACTGAACGAATATATTTTATATACTTTTTACCTAGTTAGAATACTGAACGAGTATGAAACCCACCAATCACAGTTCATATCTGGTCACCAGACAACTATTATTTTGGTAAATTTTAAGTAAGTGACGATTTTGTCAAAATAATTGTCAGTATATTCTTGTAAAGAATCGAGAAATAATAGCAGTTCAAAAGATATTTCCCTTATTTACAAAAAAAAAAATAATACATTTTAATTAAATTATATAAAATAAATTTAATTATGAGTATTACAAATATAAAGTTTGTTATGTGTTAGGACTGGGTTTGTTATGCGTTAGGTCTGGGTTTGTTATGCGTTAGGTCTGGGTTTCAAATATGATTGAAGATAATTTGAATATAATTTTTTAAAGTTTATTTTATTTTAAAAACTAGTAAAAAACAAAAATTATTTTTAAATTAGGTGGTTTATACTAATTGCCGAAATTATTTTTTTAAATTTGTAGATTTTCGTCAGTGGGTCGTATCACACTCAGACGATTGAGCATTCCGCCTACGCCGTCTCGTCGGGCTACAATTTGGTCTTCGTGCAATATGGACATTATTTCCACCCTTGTTGCATAATTGCTATTTCTGTATTAAGAGGGATAAGTGATAATTTGCCGCTTGAGACAGAAAGTTGGCCGCGCGACTCGTAGCGGCAATTAACTTTTCGCTCAAAATGTACATAAAATTTATTCTACGATCACAGTATTTTAAGAAATAGATATATAAACTAAAAATCTGTCATAAGTAAAGTATAATGTGTTGCCTATATCTACATTATTCATGAAAAACGGAGTTGATATTCAAAGTCAATGTTAACTTAGATAATAAAACAAAAAACATCAAACTCCGTACAAATAATTTAAAAATAATTTATTTAATAGAAATATTACGTTTTATCTAATTTAAATTAGGCGAGCAACAAAGCTGTCAAGTATTCCGCTTGGCGTGCGACAAAGCTGTCACTTAATGTTAGTTCTAGATATTTTACTTCATTTTTCCATTCTGTACCTATCCTGTCTAATTTGACGGCTTTAAGATTGAATTTTCTTTTCCTTGAAAATACTACTAGTGTTATTTTCTTGGGGCTTATACTCACCTCACCTATATATCTTTTGGTGAGTTCTGGTCCTCTTTGGACTATATTAGACAGGATATTTCCAAACTTGCCTCTAGCAAATATGACTATGTTGTCGGCATAACCTTGACAGGGTATACCGAGATCTGTCAATCTGTATAGAAGTTCGTCTACGGTTAGGCTCCACATTAGTGGAAATAGAACTCCTCCTTGTGGACATACTCTAGTTGTGAAGATGGAGATGGTGCCTGCTTTATATGTGTCTCTACAGTTCTCGTAGATTACAACTGAGCCATCCATCTGTATGTGGTGTCTATATCAAAGAAGGCACGCACGACCGTTTCTTTGTTTGTTAGTGCATCCTAGATTACGTCAATCAGTTGTACCAGGGCAATTTCCGTAGATCTTCATTTTCGGTATGCGTACTGGCTATGGTGGTACCCTCTCCAGGACTGCCGTGTGAAATGCCAAGTTTTGATATTGTTATAATAGAAATTTTTTTGACTACGGGCACTGAGTTCATTCGCCAAACCGCATAGATTACATTATGTCTTTGTTTTATACCATATACGAGTACTAAAAATTTGAAATTTTAAACAATTATACCGAGATAAATAGAGGTTTGCAATGTTTAATAAAAATCAGCGGACGCAATAATTTATGTTAAAATTTATATAATTTCTCCAAATTAACATTATATAGTTTAATAACATATCGAAATTAATATATAAAATATTACAGTCGTTTCAATTTATGTTAAATTTTTTAACTTTCGAAGTTGGTACCTATATAACTTCATTGAGTGTTTTTGATAAGTACTTGAAATGCTCTTGTAAATTTAATTGTAAATCAATTTCAACCCTCAGAAATTTTGTTTTATCTTTATTTATTATTTTTATTTTTTTATTTTATAATTTCATAGGTAATTAATGTAAGCAGGTAAATAATCAATAAAAATAGGAAATATTATTGGCCCCAAGATTGAACACTGTAGTATCCCAAAAATTATATATAAAGTGAATAAGAAATATAGACTTAAAATTGTTAAAAATATTTCTTACATGTCTATTGTGACAAATTATGCCAAAACAAATGGAATTTTCTGGATGATTTTTTTTTTTTTTTTTTTGGTGTACGGCTTCAACATCTAAGGTCATTAGCCTAGTGTTCTATGTAGGTTATGGATTGTATTAGTAGTGCAGGATTATTAGTACTCTAATACTCCTACACCCCTACAGACAGGCCTTGTTACTGTTTCCTTGCGCCACTTTAGGAACAGCACTGTTAATTAGAACCCAACAGTGAATGATTTAAAAAAATAAAAAATACGAATTTGGCAGATAATGAATGTTAGCGGGCCAACTTTGATATGGGCTCTTTTAACGTTTTATAAAAGCAGAGGTGATTGCCCTACGACGTTTTTTTTTTAATGGCCATAATATTAACAAATCTCATATTTCAACTTTATGGCACTCACTGTATATAGTTTAAAAACATAATTATTGTCGGTATAGTTTTAGTTGTTAAAGTAAAAGTATATTAAAAATAACTATAGAATCGTCAAATAATGACAATACACTAGATATTTTTTAGTATTTACAAGGAAACCGTAAATGTTAACCAGATTATCTAAAACTAATTCTGGTAACTAAACTGCTGGCTTTTTCAAAAAATTATATAAAATTTACGTATCTCGACTACTTAGGTCTTCGACACCATTACAACCTAGTTAATAAAACTATTTAAACAATTTTGTAGATAGGTTTTCTTCAGTGGTTCTTAGAAGTAGAAACTGTAGAAGTAAAAAAACATCATGTCCACTCTTGTTGTACAAGCTACTATTTTTTGTTTAGAAATATTTTTTAAAACCAAACATTTGTAAAATATTCTTTTTTATTTTGCAGATTTTGGTTTGTCTAGTAGCGTCAGTTGCTTGCCATATGGTTGGTCAAAATGGCCATGGTGTTCATAGACATAGGGTTCGCCCAGTAGTAGCTCGGGCTAACGGCGGTAGACACGTACAACGAGTTAATACTCGCGTTGTAGTGGGAGGTCAACATAACGCTCAATCTAGTAATGATAAAGGAGATAATCAAATTGTCATTATCGAAAGGCCATCTGTCGTCAGAAGCCCTCTATATCCTAATGAAGCATACAACACACACAAGTAAGTGATTTATCTTTTTATTTAACATTAGCAAAACATTAATTTAAGTTTCAGCTATTATTAAATGTAACATTGGAATTATTTTGAATTTTAAATTTATGTTATGTTGGGAATGGGTGGTAATACACTGCGACTGTATTTTTCTCGCCTAGCTCATTAAATTTTTTTACGCATCTCCATTTTTGAGCTGATTATGTAAGAGCTCAGTGCTTTAATGGCTGCTTGAATATCGGTCATGATATTCTCTTGTCTACAATAGTTTCTCTCAAAGCTAAAGTAAATACACTTTTTGATGGCGTGAATTTCCGCCTGAAAGAAGCTTGGTTTTAGGCTAATACACTCCTATTCCAGTTCCTTCTATGGTTCTTGAACCGTATACCACTGAATAGCATATCTTTTGGTTGTAAGAACGATGTATTTATGGCTTCATTGTTTCTTGCAGCCCAGTTCTATGGTTTTGAAATTTTTCAAGAAACTGTACTTCTTTCTTATTTCATCTTGAGACATATCCCAAGTATCTTTAGTACCTAAACTAATAGGCTCATTAACTGTAGAGGGGTAAGGTTTAAGATCACCTCCATTGCACCGGTTATGCTTAACTAGTTCTGTTACTTTAGGTTATAGCCCCGTAAGTGATGATTGGTCCTATTATTGCAGTATACATCCATCGCAGTGTGTTCCGGCTAAATCCCGGTCGTTTACCCGAAATGCGTCTGCATTCCATTAGGGCGTTTGTAACCTTATTTACTACTTCCTTCTCAAATAAGTTCCAGAGAGGATTGTTGTCCAGGGTTAGGCCTAGATATTTGACTTTATTTTGGCATTCTATATCTATCCCAAATAATTTAACGGTTATGTGATTGAGTTTTCTTTTCCTTAGAAAGGCTACTATTGTCTCGCTTCACGACACCTTTTTTTGGTATGTTCCAGTCCTCTTTGGACTATATCACACAGGAAATTTTCAAAGTTGCCTCTAGCAAATATGAATATGTCGTCGGCATAACCTTAACAGGGTATTCCGAGGTCAGTCAATCTGCATAGAAGTTCATCTACGGTTAGGCTTCACCTTAGTGGGGACAGGCCTCCTCTTTGTTGACATCCTCTGTTTGTGCAGATGAAGATGGTGTCCTGCCTTATCTGTGTCTCTGCAGTTCTCGTAGATAGTAGTTGAGCCATCCAGCTATATGTAGTGCTATCCACTTCTCTGTAGGCAAGTGCTCTTTTGACAGATTCGTATAGCGTGTTGTTTAATGCTCCTTTTATTTTTAGGAAGCCCTATACGACCGTTTCTTTGTTTGTCAGTGCATCCTGGATTACATCAGTCAGCTGTACCAGGGCAGTTTCCTACTCGGTACGCGTGCTGACTGTGGTGGAGTGGCACCCTCTTTAGGACTTCTGTTCTGATATAATTATCAACAGCCTTCTCCATTGTTTTTAATAAAATGGTTGTGAGTCCGATTGGTCAGAAGGATTTTGTATGTGTAGTATTCTTTTTCCTTACGTTTGGAATATAGGTGCTCCTGGACATCCGGAATATGTGTGCTAGTTATTTTTCCTATGCCCGCTAAAGCAGAACCGGAAATATTCCATCCACACCTAGAGACTTAAACGGTTCAAAAGAGTTTATGGCCCACTTTAACCGATTGCTGCTACATATGTATTTGGTCACCACAGCGGCCTTTCTTGGGGGTCTGCTTATCTTGGTTGTGTCCCTTATTAGAAAAGGTGTGCCCTAAAGAAAATGAGTTTACAGTAAGAGCACTTTCATGTCTGTTTACAGAAAAAAAGCAAGAATCATGATTTTTTTCGACCCCCAGTGTTCGACAGATTTACACGTTTTAGAGTCCCCTGAATACGTTTTGACTATTTTCGCGATGATATGTATGTGTATTTAATTTGGTCTGTGTGTGTGTGTGTTTGTATTCACGATAACTGAAAAACGAATAAATAGAAGAACACAAAATCTTAAACTTAATCTTTAAATAATCCTCTAATGAGTTGATTAGATTTTGGTCATAGTGAGAGCAACTGTGGAGAATTTTATACGGAATAATTTTTTACCTTAAAGAATATGTGTTATTTTAAGCTTGGAAAAGAAAATTCGTGAAATAAAAGTTTATTGTGATGGCATTCTCTATAATTTTTGTTTTATACATGATTTCTCTAAAATAGTTCATATTCGAGAAGTTTTTTTTTTTTTCATAATTTTTACTTATAATACCACTAGTTTCTAAATTTTTTTGGAATATTTTTAAAAAATTACACGATATCATTGTCTATACTTTTTGCTCTATAAATATTTTTTCTAAAACGGATGTAATGAAAAAAATTTAGGACAATTGTAAAATTTTAATTTTATACTAGTTTCGTTGGTAATGAATATAAAGAGAGACCCATTATTAGTGTGTGAAAGTCCAATAACTCGTTTTTTTTTGAAAATGCTAGATAATGTCAAATACAGAAGTTTTACAGTCCAAAGAGGCAGCTTTTATAAACATATTTTTCAATATACAGGGTGCATCCAATAAGCAAGGCAAAATAAAATTTATTCTTAAATTCTCTCTAAAACATCATATATCTAAATTTGATGGTTTTCAAGTTTTTAACACTTGAAAATTAACTTTTTCACACTTTGACAAGCTAAAGCGCTTAGGCGGTTGAAATTAGGGTCAATCGGTTTACATGTCCCAACTTATGTTTTTATACTTCTTATACTTTATACAAATAATCAATAAAATAACCCACTTCGAGTTAAACCGAAAGTTAGAGTTTTCATATTTAATTGATCCAAAAGTTCGCACATACCTTTAAACTTTAAGCTTTAGCGTACAGCTTGTTAAAGTGTTAAATACTCAATTTTTGAATGCACGATTATAATAATAATAATATAATAATAATAAACTTTATTTGCAACTTCCAGTTTTTTATACATATAAAAATATTCAGAAAAAAAAAGTGCCAAAGAAGGCTGCAAAAAGGACTGGTGAACAGTGGATACTGATCAAAGCACCAGCCCTGAGTATTACCAACGCCACAGGACATCGTACAAAAAACAATATAAATATAAACACAAATGATAGTGAGAAAAAAAAGTATAAACATTCTAAAAAGTAGCTATCACTCTGCTGTGTCAAGAAGAAACTTTTTGTAAAATTTTTTAAATTTACTTACAGACATTTCTTTAAAATGTTGTGGGATAACCTTGTACATTGCATAAATATTATAAGTGAAAGTCCGTCTGAAAATAGCAGTATTATGTATTGGAGGTGAGATACGACCACAAAAACGTAGATTGAGGTTATGAACATCAGAACGATACATTATTTTATTAAAAAGATATGGAGGGGATTTATGTAAAATAACAGAATGAAACAAATTAGCCGAGTGTAAGTTTCGTCTGGATTGCATATCTAGCCAGTTTGAATCCTTGAGTTTATGAGAGACTCTATCAAATTTCCGTATTCCATAAGAAAATCTTAAACAAGATTTCTGTACTCTCTGAATTCTAATTATGTCTGCGTTATCTAAACAGGGCCCATAAACTGAATCACAAAAGTTAAAATTACTCAGAACCAGGGAATCTGTTAATAACAATTTTGTTGTAGTTGGAAGAACATGTCGATGTGGGTAAAGCATTTTTAAATTCATGTATGCTGTTTGGATGCACTTGTTAGCGTGAAGTTTAAACCTCAAGTCATTATCAATTACTAAACCTAAATTGCGAGCAGATGTGGAAAATGATAAAATATTCCCATCAACTAGAATCTGCATTTCATTTTGTAGTTGATGTCGGTATTTACCAAATAACATTACTACACTCTTAGCTGGATTAATATTAAGTTGATGAATATTTGAAAGTTTAACTAGTCTGTCAAGATCTTCATTAATATGATTATTAGCTTCTAAGGAATCATTATGATTAAAAGAAAATTTAACTTGAGTATCGTCAGCATAAAAAAATGGCTTACCATTCCTAATGCTATTCTCAAAGTTGGAGGTATATAGTGAAAATAATAATGGCCCAAGTATTGATCCCTGAGGAACTCCACAGGAAATCTGCTTAGTATTTGATGAACCTGCATCAGTAACCACAAATTGTTTCCTGTTATACAGGTAGCTATTAAAAAGTCTGATAACATCATTAGAGCAACCAATAAAATGTAATATTGAGAGTAAAATTTTATGATTAATAGTATCAAATGCTTTGGAATAATCTAGCATAACAAGTGCTGCCGTTTTTTGACATCAATATCCCTGAAGAGATCATCAGTGACATCCAGTAAAGCTGTAGCACAACTATAGCCAGAACGAAAACCTGACTGTCGCAGTGGAAGTATTTGATTATTTTTTAAATGAATATTTAATTGAAATTTCATGATTTTTTCAATCACTTTGGATAACACTGGTAGGATAGAGATGGGACGCAAATCGTTCACACTAGTAACGTTCTTTTTCTTGGGCAAGGGAAAGACTTTTGATAGCTTCCAAGATTCCGGAAAGATGCAATCGGTGAGGCAAACATTTATGATATGTGTAATTATAGGTAAAATTTCAGGACAGCAAAGAAGTAGCATGTGAATATTTAACTGATCCGCTCCCGAAGCTACAGACTTTATTTCGACCAAATACTTATATACGACTGGAGTACTGACAACACTGAATGAAAATATAGAACATAAATTATCCTTTAGGTTATTACTATAGAATTCAATTAGATCAGTGTCTGGTTCTTTATTACGTGCCGACGGACCTAAAAAATGATTATTAATTTCATCTGGCTTATTAAGGTTAATAGGAATCGAATTCATGGGATATTTCGCAGATATATTAAATTCTTTAATTTTTTTCCAAAAAATTTTACCATTACCTTTGGATTTATTTATACAGTATTCTAGATAGGCCTTTTTCTCATTTCTTATAGCAGAAGTTGTAAAATTTTTCAAGTTTTTATAATAATCCCAGTGATTTGGGTTTCTAGTAGATTTATATTTGTTAAATGCCTTATCTCTAAGCTTAATCATCAATTTAACATTATCGGTTAACCAAGGTGGGTTAGGCTTTTTAAATTTAATGGTATGAACTGGCGCTAAGGTATCAAAAATATTTAATATCGTGCTATTAAGATATTCAACCTTATCATCAATGTTATTAAAAGTAATAATATTTTCAAAAGGGGTAAATAGCAGCATTTCTTTTAAAATAACACGATTAATGTTTTTTAAATTTCTAAACTGAAATTCTTTTGGAGGATCAACTGTAATTGTTAAGTTTAGTGTACAATATGTTAATTTATGATCCGAAATATTGAATACTTCCTTTACACCACTATCAATAGGATCAAACTGGTTAGGTATGGCTATCACATCCAATAAAGTAGCACTATTTTTGGTTGCCCTCGTCGGCTCGTTAATAATTTGTTTAAGATTAAATAATTCTATGGTATTAATAAAGTTTTTCGAATTTGTTGAACTGCTATCCATTAAATCAATGTTTATGTCACCACCGCATATTATGTCATTACATGAAGGTATTAATACTGAAAGATTTTCTTCTAGATTCGCAAAAAACTGTTGGTTGTTTTTTTTTGGTGGCTTATAAAAAAGACCGAAAATATATAAACAGTGATTAATTTTAGTTTGAACCCATAGCTGTTCCACACATTCATGTTCCTTTACCGTGAGTATTTGATAATTAATTGTAGATTTTATATAAAATCCTACCCCGCCTCCTCTACTTCCTCTATCTTTTCTTATAAAACTGTAACCATCAATACTTACAGCAATACTCGAGATGTTGTTAGTCAGCCATGTCTCACTTACTCCAATAAGATCTAAATTATTCTGTAAAATAAACGTTTTGAGATCTAAAAAAGTATTACATAACGTATTAACGTTGTAATATGCAAAAGATAGATTCTTCATGACACAAAAAAATAGCTAAAAAGAAAAATACACCTAATTAAACAATGAGCTAATATACAAGTAAAAAAATGAAGAATGGTCGTCCGTATTTGTTCTTTTTGATTACATAACTGAAATGTAACTGTAACTATTTATTCTAAATGTCAACATTATAAATTTATTTGTATTTATGTTGCCGATTGGTAAAAACATCTAAAAAAGTAGCTCATTAGACACAAAAAATATATTTTTGGGGCTCTAAATACTCAATTTTGCGAAATTTGTTGCTTATGGTCTTTTGTCCTTCATCATGATTAATGAAAAATATATAAATTCTAATTTCTCTTTGTTACAGTCATGAGGGACCAATGAACAACCATGCTGAAGAACACATTCGTATAGTCGAAATGAACCCTTTTGTTTATCAACAACCACCAAAACAACAGTTTTCACTCGGAAACTCGGGACATATGGTTTATAGTTCTGTTGACTCGTTTGAACAAGATGATGGTATCAAGTCCAAGAGAATGGCCACTTACTGAAAAAAATTAATATTAAATTTTTAAATATTTGTAATGAATAATATTGTTAAATAAAAATTATGTTATGTTTATTGCTTTTTTATTTTGTTACATATTATTAGTAAAATATCCTCACTTGTTGATGACGCATAGAAGATAATAGCATTTAAAATAAAAACATTTATTGTCTAAAATATTCTAACAATTCGTTTACAGAGCAAAGTACAATATATTTAAACAAATTGGTAGGAAGGTGGCACAAAACATTAAAACTAACTGTAACTATAAACATATAAAAAAAGCGTTAATACCATCAATGATCGATGTGACATTCAATATCTAAACCAAATAGATTTTAACCTACTATAAACAAAATTATAACAGTTGATGAATATCTAATGATAAGAAAAATAATAATAATAATAATGATAAGAATAATAATATTAATAATAATATGAAGAATAATAGGAATACTAATAATTATAAAAGTAACCACAAAAATATAGGAATAATACATAACAATAATATTAAAATAACAATCATAATACAACTACAATAAATAATAATATAGACACCACCGAAAATAATAATGTTAAAAAAGAAATGTATATATAGTAAAATGTTACCAACATGACATACGTGACCCTAACAGCAACACTAAAAATATAAAAGACCAAAAAAAAAGAAGAAACGACAAACGACAATCACACTTCAAATATATACCTGTCAATTCTGTCATTTCGAATCAACCGCATGGTTCGTTAACAATAAAAAGAAAAACTTGCAAAAATCAATTAAAATTATTCTCTCTATGAGGAACCGAAAGAGGAAAAAGAGGGTTTTCAGTACCCACAAACTAAAACGGACTTAAAGAACACCATCAACGGACATGCCAAGGATTATAGGAAACAAAATAATAAAATAATAAAAAAAGGTTTAATTTATTTTAACAATGTTTTTTTATATTATGTTGGGAATGGGATGTTAATACACTGCGACCTAAAAGATCTATTGTGCCCCCTTCTGTTACTAATTCATCAAGGAAATGTCATGATGCCTATAACGACCCTTCCAATCCTATTTTCTCAATTGTAGGATTTGAAGTGGCTTCAAGTTAGGTAAATCTCCCTCTTCTATTTGATGTCCTCCTAGATATAGTACCCTTGGATTCTAGAGTGCTACATATTCAGTTAAGATGTGAATAGAGATTTCGTTCTCCTCCTCACAGAATCTGCACTCACTATCCTCTACTACTCTCAGTTTACTTAAGTGTCCTTTTAGTCGGCAATGCCCGGTAAGGATCCCTGTTGCAATACGTAGCCTGTTCTTGCTCAGGCAGATGCAAGCTTTCGATCTTTTGTAGTTATATTCACCCAGAAGTATCTTGGCCTCTCTCAGCCCCAAGAGATTGTTCCAACTATTAGTTCTTCTACTACCCAATTCTTTTTTAATCTCTCCTAATATCACTGCTAATATTACTGCTAATATTACTGCTAATATTACTGCTAATATTACTGCTAATATTACTGCTAATATTACTGCTAATATTACTGCTAATATTACTGCTAATATTACTGCTAATATTACTGCTAATATTACTGCTAATATTATTGCTAATATTACTGCTAATATTACTGCTAATATTACTGCTAATATTACTGCTAATATTACTGCTAATATTACTGCTAATATTACTGCTGATACCGCAGAACGGTTCAGGTCCTACAAAGGGTGTTTGAGCCCCTTTCCTTGCAAGACTATCTGCAATCTCGTTACCCTGTACCCCGTTATGTCCCGGAACCCAAGTGAGAGTAACTGTTTTTCTTGCCTAGATTAGATTAGATTAGATTAGATTAGATTAGATTAGGAGTTGGACGTTATTTGTGCGACCTTTTCAGATCTATTGTGGGACTCCGTTTGTTTTAGAGTATGTCGTCTAGCCTGGTCTTTTTTATTAGACTTAGTAGCTTTGACAGTGGCTCCCGCATGTAGTTGCATGCAATTGGCTTTTCTTCGCCCAATGTTAGAAACCTCATTCCAGCCAAGCCTTCACATTGGCACAGGACGTGGAATGATGTTTCCTCTTCTTCTTCACAGAACCTGCACAAAGTTGCTTCTTCTGCTGGATTTATGACACTCATGTGCCTTTTGAGGCGACAGTGTCCAGTAAGAAGGCCTACTGTTATCCTAACGATTTGACGTTTTTGATCCAGTAGGTCTTTCGTAAACTTGGCCGATGGTTCCTTGATGAACTGTTTGGCCTGTCTCAGTCTTGGATAGTTGTTCCACCATTCCTGAGACTCTTTTTGCATCCATTGCTTAATGGATGCCTTGCACAATGCCTTAGCGACTCCACAAAAGGGTTCAGGGCCTGTCATGGCCTTATCTGAGCCTTCTCGGGCTAATTCGTCGGCCTTTTCGTTGCCCTGATATCCCTCATGGCCTGGAACCCAGGCTAAGGTCACCTTATTTTGACTACTTAGCTCTGTCAGGTCTTCTAGACAGTCTTTCACCAGTCGTGATTTGATTTCTGGTGAGAGAATTGCCTTTAGAGCTGCTTGGCTATCAGAGTATATGGCAATAGTTTTGCCTGATACTTGCTGATTTAATATTTCTCTTGCGCAGTGTTGTATGGCTATTAGCTCAGCCTGGAACACTGTTGCATATTTTCCTAAGCTTAGTGAAATCGTTGATTTCGACTTAGGTCCATAGATTCCAGCACCGGCTCCTTCCTTGGTTTTTGAACCGTCTGTATACCAGACGAGTTCAGCCTGTAGGGAGGTCCCTGTTTCCAGGATTCTCGGGCTGGTATTTGAATTTGAAAATTTCTTTCAAATTTGTATGTGGTTATGGCTCTATCAGTAGGCATAGCTAGAATATTATCCCTTTGTACTTGCTGATATAGCCTTGTGTGGTCGGCGCTATGTAGTTGGCTTATTGGTTTTTGTCCCTGCATTAGCCTGTGAATAGCTGACCTGGTTTCTCCTTGTATAAAGATGTGCAATGGCGTGAGATTTAGTAATACCTCCATTGCTGCGGTCGGCGTAGTGCGCATGGCCCCAGTAGCACTTAGACAGGCAAGCCGCTGAATGCTAGTGAGTTGGCCTATTGCACTTGCCTGCGCAGTTTTGGTTACCCACGCCACTGCGCCATAGGTTATCATGGGTCTTATTACCCTTGTGTATAACCATATGGTCATTTTGGGGTTTAGACCCCAGTTTTTCCCACATATTCTTCTACAGCTTACGAGAGCTGTTGTAGCTTTATGTGTGAGTTTTTTGAGATGTTGATTCCATGTCAGCCTTTGGTCAAATATGACTCCGAGGTATTTGGCTTCTGTGACGAATGGGATAACTGTGCTGTTTAGTACTAGTGGTCTTAGACCTGTGAGTACCCGTTTTTTTGTGAATGGTACAACTGTTGTTTTTTGTGCGTTGATGGACAATTGTTCCTTTTTGCACCAGTTGTTCACTATGTTTAGAGCTGTTTGAGATCGCTCTGAAACTGTACCTGCAAATCGCCCCCTGACGATGATTGCTAGGTCGTCTGCGTATCCTAGGCACTGGTAGCCTTCTTTGGACAATATTTTGAGTAAGTCGTCCACGAGAACTGACCACAGCATTGGAGATAGTATTCCTCCTTGTGGGCAGCCCCGTGTAACTTTTGCCTGTATGGTTGCCTTTCCTAAAGTGGATAAAATAATCCTGTTCTCTAGACAGGCAGTGATCCATTGGCATATTGTTACTGGGACGTTTCTCCCTTCTAGAGCCTTGGTTATTGACCTGGTTGAGGCATTGTTGAAAGCTCCTTCAATATCTAAGAAAGTGGCTATTGCGATTTCTTTGTCATCTATTGACTTTGAAAGCAGCCTGTTTAGATCGTCCAGCGCTAGGTCAGTTGACTTTCCTGGCTGGTATGCCTAGCTCATTTAATTGTTTTAGGCATTTCCAGACCATTTTTAAGCTAATTACGTAAGAGCTCAGCGATTTGATGGCTATCGGACATGATGATACTCTCTTGTCTATGATAGTTTCTCTCAATGTTAAACTGAATACACTTCTCGATGGCGTGAATTTCCGCCTGTAAGATGCTTGGGTGTTTTCCCATGCTTTCGGAATGCTTGGTTCTCGCCCCATATACTCCTATTCCAGTTCCTTTTATGGTTTTGGAACCGTCCGTATACCACTAAATAGCACGTATTTCGGTTGCAAGCGCGATGTATTCTTGGCTCCATTCTTTCTTGCATCCCAGCTCTGTGGTTTTGAAGTTTCTCACAAAACTGTACTTCTTTAGCATTTCATCCAGGGGCATGTCCCAGGTATCTTTAGTCCTGAAGCAAGAAGACTTTCATTTGATTACTCCGTTCCTGATCATTTTATATCGTGTCCTTTTTGCCACATTCTCTATCATCAAATGTAGAGGGGTAAAGTTTAAGATCACCTACAGGACAAACACAGGCTAGTCTTTGTACTTTTGAGATATTAGCTCTCGTAGTAGCTAAACTAGTTCTGTTACGCCAGGCTATAATCCCGTAAGTGATGATTATGTTATGAATGTTAATAACACACCCCAAATTCTGTACCAAAGGTAAGCTAAAATACCTACATAATAATAAGATGTAAACTATATAAAAAATTTATTGTAGAATTGCGGATGTAAACTCATTATTTTTTTTTTAACAAGGTTTTAATGACTAAAAAAATTAAATATTTTACTAATAAAAAACTATAGAAGAAGGCACTGATCAGTGCTAAAAGCTATAAACACACACACACACGCGCACGCACGCACGCACGCACGCACGCACGCACGCACGCACGCACGCACGCACGCACGCACGCACGCACGCACGCACGCACGCACGCACGCACGCACAAACGCACAAACGCACGCACGCACGCAAGCACGCACGCACGCAAGCACGATCGCACGCACGCACGCACACACACACACACACACACACACACACACACACACGAGTTTTATTTTCTACAAACACCTAAAAACCCAACAACTACAAGAAAAAAACTGTAACTATAAACCTTCACGTAAACTTGTCCCAATCTCATTTGTCTTTACTTCTGTAGAAG